TGTGAAAGACACCCGAAGTGTAGCAGCAGCAAGTAAAAATTCCCGGCCCCGTTTTCAGCGGATCAAACACGTGGCTGTGCCTCTGGGAGCTCTGAGGAGCTGGAATTTCCCTCGGGGTTTGTGTAATGTGCTGGGTGTTCCAGGCTGGAAAAGCCCCTCTTGAGTTGAGGTGGGTCAGGGCTGGAATTCCAGCATGGCTCGGTCTGGGATGTTCTCCCTGGGTTTGGGTCTGTGAATGGGGCAGGACACGGGGAGAGCTGGGGTCTGTTGGGCAGGATCTGTGAGTCCTGCAGAGGAGAATTTCCCCCAAACCAGAATTTCCCCCGGTGTGCAGCCGCTGCAGGACGTGGGTGACTCACAGGCACAGCTCTGCTCTGCTGGGGCTCGACATGGACCTTTTTTTTTCCCCTCAGAAAACACCAATTTTGGAGGTGTGGGATGTGCAGCTGCGAGGGGGGCGTGGGGTCTTCTCCCTACCCCAGTGCTGGGTTTGCAGAGTGACACCTTCCCTGTTCAGGGTCACAGAACAGCCATGGGATCATGGAATGGTTTGGGTGGGAAGGGCCCATCCAGTGCCACCCCTACCATGGGCAGGGACACCTTCCACCAACCCAGGTTGCTCCAACCTGGCCTTGGACACTTCCAGGGATCCAGGGGCAGCCACAGCTTCTCTGGGAAATCCATCCCAGCCCCTCCCCACCCTCTCAGCCAGGAATTCCTTCCCAATATCCCATCTATCCCTGCCCTCTGGCACTGGGAAGCCATTCCCTGTGTCCTGTCCCTCCATCCCTTGTCCCCAGTCCCTCTCCAGCTCTCCTGGAGCCCCTTTAGGCCCTGCAAGGGGCTCTCAGCTCTCCCTGGAGCCTTCTCTTCTCCAGGGGAACATTCCCAGCTCTCCCAGCCTGGCTCCAGAGCAGAGGGGCTCCAGCCCTGGCGGCAGCTCCGGGGCCTCCTCTGGACTCTCTCCAGCAGCTCCACGTCCTCCTGCTCCTCAGCTCCCAGTGGATTTTCTGGAAAGTTTTTCCTCCTCAAGTGCCACCTCGTGCAGGACAAGCAGACAAGGTGTTCCTGAACCACTGGAAGCTGTTGGAGGCAGCCTGTCCTTTCCCTTTTTCCCAGTTCCAGGTGCTGAGGGGTGGAAATATCCCATTTTTCTGGCACTGAACAAACCTCCCTGTGCTCTGTCACCTCAGGTACCCCGGAGGGCCTTGCAGGGGAGGAGAATCCCCAAATTCTTCCCTGTGTGAACACAGATGGATTAGTTCATGCCAGGGGTGTTGTGCTGGAATTCTGGGAATGCCCAATCCCCCTGAAACAGCTCTAGGGGGGGAGAAAAAAACAACCTACAAACTTAGGTAGAATAATACCTTGAAAACAAACATTATCAGAGTGTATTGTGTTCAGATGATTTATAATTCTTTTTGAAGGCAAAAATGACCTGAGTTTTTAATAATTTTGTTTGGCCACAGCATAGAGGCTTCAGCATCCCTTATATATTACATATATAATAATATATATCTATATATAATAATATAATCTATATATATGTATGTATATAGATATATTCTAGGTTATATATCTAGTATATATATGTATCTAGTATATAGAGTTGACATATATATGCTTGATGTATATATATATATATATATAAGATATATTAGATGATGGGAGCAATTACTGCTTTGAGGATTTAGGAGTTGTCGAGGTGTTTTGGCTTTTTTTTTCCAACATATCTGGGGTTTCTGAGGCCCTGGGTTGCTAATGGTGCCCCAAGGGGGCATGTCCCAGGGCATGGCTCACCTGTGCTGGGTCCTGTTTGCCCAGGGGATGGTTGGGAAGGGTCTGGCAGCTCATCAGCGCCGGGTTGGTTACCTGGGACCTTCTGCATGTGCAGGTTGGACCCTGCTGAGGTGGCTCCTGCCCACCAAAACCAGCTCCAGTCATACTGGTGTGGCTCATTGTGGCTTCAGGATCATCCCTGTCGTGTCCATGATCTCCCTGAAGGCTGCCCCAGGGCCGGAACGCCGGGAAGGGCTGGCCAGGCTGCTCTATGGGTGGAAGGTTGATGATTAAACGTGGTTGGGACTGTGTGCTGGGGTTTTGTCATGTGCTAACCCTGCTGAGTTAATGCCACGTGAGGACCAGGTCCTTGAGGTGATGCATCTTAGTGGGGATTTTGGGCACCTCAGTATAAAAAAAGAAAAGATCTAAAACTGTTAAAGAGGGGACACAGGGATGGGGAAGGGTCTGGAGGGGCCAAGCAAGGAGCAGCTGAGGGCACTTGGTTTGTTCAGGTGGAGAAGGACTGAGGGGAGACTCATGGGGGCCTGCAGCTTCCTCAGGAGGGGCAGCTCCCATCTCTGCTCCCTGTGACAGGGACAGCACCCAGGGAAGGGCTGGAGCTGTGCCAGGGCAGGGTCAGGTTGGATCTCAGGACAAGGTTCTTCCCCCAGAGGGTGGTTGGCACTGCCCAGGCTCCTCAGGGCAGTGGGCACAGCACCAAGGCTGCCAGAGCTCCAGGAGGGTTTGGACAACGCTCTTAGGGACAGGGTGGGATTGTTGGGGTGTCTGTGCAGGGCCAGGGCTTGAATCAATGATCCCTGTGGGTCCCTTCCAGCTCAGGATATCCTCTAATTCTGTGATCTCACCCGTGCCAGACACCAGGGTTGTCGTGACACTTCACACCTCCGAGTGTTGTTGGGCTGAGAGCACAGTGTCCCATCCCCTCCCTCCTGCTCCAGCCCCTCCACACCACACACCTCCACACCCCGTTTTTCTGTGGTAGTCCAGCATAACCTCTAATCCTCTCTCTCAATAAAAGAGGATTAAAAGAGGGAACATTTGCACCTCGTCCTTCCCGCAGTAATCTCGTGGTGTGGAGCCGGGGCTGTGCCTTCCTGCCACGCCAGGAATGCTGTGAGCCAGCAGCACGGGGCACTCCTGCTCATTGGGTTAGGAATTCTTAAAAGACCACTTTGCCTGTTAATTAAAAAAGCTCAATTGACTAAAGATGAGTAACTCAATTAAAGTGACGTTAGGAACGGCTCCTGGGCTGTGCAGGTGGAAGGAAAAGGGTTTGGAATCGGGATTTCTGGGGGGTCCTTTAGGGTGACAGAGTATCACCTTGGAGAATGGCATTTTTTTAAATGTTATGTTTCCTAAATTCCTGTCCAGCTGTACATCCTGCAAAAAAAATTGTAGGGAAGAAAGTCCCAGCCCAGGTGTTACTGGTGGATCCTGGGAGAGTCACCTCTGCCTCATGTGAGCCCTGCAGAGCCCGGGGGGAAGCACAGGATTGTTAAATGGGAATTCCAGCCCGGGATTTATGATTTTATGGTGTAGTTTGACCTCCAGTTTTGGGTTACACTCGACTGGAATAGGCTGGGATGTGGTGGTTGCTCTTCCCGTGGTTTTCCATGTGCTAAATGTGTCCTTTTTCCTTGCTGTCTCCAGGGATAGGGTTGGTGTGGTTGTAACCTCCACTGTGGTGTTATTTGTTGGAGCCAAAGCTTGAGAAGAGTCTTCACCCTGTAGTTTCCTGATGGAAAATATTTTCCATATTTGGTGCTAAATATGGGAAATTAAGCTGCCCAAAGGACCCGTTTCAAATGCCATCCCATGGCAGGAAATGGGGCCCTGTCACACCACCAAACAGTGGCTTTTGGCAGCAAACAGGAGGGTTTCTGCCTGATAAATATCTGTGAAACCCCATTTGTTCCTTTTCCATGAAGGTTTCCCCTCAGCGGGGTTTGCTCCTTGGTGTGAGATCCTGATAAACAGAAGGAATTTGGGGATTGCTTTCCACAGTCCATTTGATTTGAGGTCTTTCCATGCTGAGACGGGAGGTGCAGGGGGTTAATTTTTTTCCCCTGTCCTAATTAAGAGGATCATTACCCTCATTTTGTGCCACAGGAGGACGCTGTGGAACAGGAGCTGGTTCCTGTTGTTCCTCTGAGTGCCCGAGTTACCACATCTCCGGGACACATGGAATTAGAGGTTCACTTCACAGGAGGGCTGCAAACTGCTCTCTTAGCTCACCTTTGTCACCTTTTCCAGGAGTCTGCACTCCTGGAAAGCCACTCCTGTCCAAAACCTCCTGCAGTTTCCAGAGGGGCAGATGTTTCACTAGAAAAAAAAAAAAAAAAGCCTTTTTTTTAATCAGGCTGAGGTGTAGGCCTCAAAATCCTCTCCATGAGCAAGGGAAGACTTTTTCCACAGATATGGAAAAATAAATTTAAAATTTCACGTTAAATTTAACTCATTTAATGCACATTTTAAATGAGTCGTGGTAGTGACTGAGATATTAATCAGTCAAGGGGTTTGCTTATCAAACCTGCAGTGGTAATTCCCTCTAGGGAATCTACCCTTTTTCCTCTAAAACCCGTGCCCCTGCCTCCTTTTAAAATGCCTTAAACCACCAAAGAAACCATTCCAATTATTCTCATATTTATTGCTAATCTGAACAGGTGAATGAGGTGTTGGATGAGTTAGTAAGAACTGTTTATTGTGATTTATTATCATAATTTAACGTTCCAGCAGATAAGTGCTCACCTCCACGTTCAGTCTGTGTCTCGTGCAGCCCCTAAACTAAACCCCCTTCAGAGGGATGAAGGTCACAAATAATCCCAGGCCTGTCTGTGTGAGGGAGGTTCTCCACTTGTGCTGCTGTTCCTCATCATTTTAAGCGTGGACTTTTTATTTTGGGCTCGGTTTAAAGCCCCCACTAAACCGATGGTGGTGGCAGAGGACGGTGTCTGTGCTGGGATGACCCACCCACGTGGGGTTTATGGCTCGAGTTATGAATTGTTACCTTCAAATTTCAGTCGCCGTTGTTTTAGTGTTGAGTTTGTGGGGTTTATGTTCAGTTTGTGTCGTCTTTCAGT